GAGGACATGAACATAAAGAATAATATTATTGTTCTGAGGACATTGAACATCAAAATTATGAATGGTGTTCTGAGGACATTGAACATAAAGAATAAAACTATTGTTCTGAGGACATTGAACATAAAGAATATGAATGGTGTTCTGAGGACATTGAACATAAAGAATAATACTATTATTCTGAGGACATTTAACATCAAAATTATGAATGGTGTTCTGAGGACATTGAACACAATCAATAAAACTAGTGTTCTGAGGACATAGAACATACAGAATAATACTATTGTTCTGAGGACATTGAACATAAAGAATATGAATGGTGTTCTGAGGACATTGAACATGAAGAATAATACTATTGTTCTGAGGACATTGAACATCAAAATTATGAATGGTGTTCTGAGGACATTGAACATAAAGAATAATACTATTGTTCTGAGGACATTGAACATCAAAATTATGAATGGTGTTCTGAGGACATTGAACATAAAGAATAATACTAGTGTTCTGAGGACATTGAACATAAAGAATAATACTAGTGTTCTGAGGACATTGAACATAAAGAATAATACTAGTGTTCTGAGGACATTCAACATCAAGAATATGAATGGTGTTCTGAAAACATTGAACATTAAGAATTTATCAGTTTGAACATAGTATTTTGTAGTGCAAATTTGTCAACACCATAAGACTCTTATCACCAGCACACAACGTTTATACCTATTTCATAGTATCTGTATTGATGGTGAATTGCTGATGATTATGCAGCTCCAATTTGATGTCTACTATTTTAAGGCAGACCAATGATGTATAAAGATAAAAAAAGTGTCAAACATAAAATACATACAAAGTATTCTTTTTTCTATTATGTGCTTAATTTTGAGTACATGTAATTTATTATGTTATTTTATTGAAATTTTGAAAGCCAAGATCTATCTCATGATGATGTACAAATATTGTCTGAGGCCAGTGCACAGATTTGGTTTTACAAGAATTTTTATTTTTTTAAAAAGATAAAATACCTTCTCGGACAATGTGAAATTGCTGACCTGAGTGGACTTTATTTGTGATTCTGTGTAGTCCTCATTCAGGTTACTCCAATGGATCAATGGGTAAGGTACAAATTTTAATATATTGTTTTGTGAAAATGTTTTCTAAGTGTAAACATTTCTTGACTATACCTCATTATTTTGATCAGAATGTTATTTTATTTGCTACAATATCATATAAATTCATAAGTTTCTTTTCACTAATGAGAACACTTATTTGATTCGATGAATGTGCAACATTGATTATGATCAAATCATTATGTCCACACAAATGTAGCATTATTGACAGAAAATAATAATATTCATTTTTTTTGTTGAAACTCAAATGAAGTATTAGATTATTTTCCTTCATTACCTCACTCTTTCAGACCTGAAACTAATTTGCTTTCTTCCCATGTCCCACAATACCCAACTTCTTCACTAGTATTTCTCCTCGCATGTCCTACGTACCTTATTCCTTCAGACCTGAACTTGTTTTTCCTCCTCATTTTAAATCATACTTGCGTTACCCCAACCAATCAATATATATATAGTATTGATTGAACTTTTAGCTTGAACTTGAAAATGAACTTCACCTTATAATAGCTGAAACCAGGCATAGAGGGTAGAGTGAAAGAACCACCAATCTTATTTGTGCCATGGCAGGGCTTCTCAGCTCATCAGTTTCATCAGCTTTAAACTCTGAGCATGTTAAATAATTTGGCAACCAAAAACCTCTTTCAAAAAATGACAAGATGAATACAACCCTGAATGAACAGGAAGCTTCTATGCCGTCTTTGGTTTTATTTTTGTTGTCAAGTTGATTGATATAAATATATCATCCCAAAATTCATCCAAATTATCGAATGCGATTAAGAATCACTCTGCGGTCAACAATAATTTTTTTACTGATGGCACAGTGGTAAAGAGCAGAACCAGTATTATTAAGAAAATCAGGGACAATCTGATTCTAGATTTTTCAATTATTGTGAGATAAATCTTCTCCATAAAACGACCAGAATTCAATGACGTTGCCATCTCCAGTGACATCTGCACTATATTTCATTGAATAGTATTGCACCAGCAACAATATTTGTGTCCTACAATTGTGTGTGTCTGCTGAAAGAAAAATTGCCAGAAGAGTTGGTAAACATCAACATCAAACAGGTCTCCAGATCCATTTATGCTGTAAACGATCTCAACATCAGAAATAACATGCAAATGAGAAACCCACTATCTACTTATGGGTGTTGATACTGCTTAGGGCAAACAAACTAGTCCATCTGTTGATGGACCTGCACATCCTTGATGTTTTCTAGGAATGAGTGCTTAGCTGTTTGTAGTACTACAGTGTTAGTGTACATGACAGACCATGCAATGTATGATCGTAGAGATCACATGAAAGCCCAATACAATTTTTGGATTTCCAACTGCAAATTGAACAGAGTTTAAAGATTACACATGCCAGACAGTAATGCTGTATCCTGATAATTCATTCTCTGACCAGGAAAGAGTAAATTTAAAAACCTGTGACTGAAAGGTTCCAAGCTTGTTGTCCCTGCACTTATAGGCACTCTGACAACTAGTGCTTTGGCAGCAGTTATACATTTATGTGCAAAACTGTGCATATTCTGATAAGGATAAATTTCAATTTGGCAATTTATGAAAACTAGATTACCATAGGCAAATAGGTTACCTTTGGCAGTAAATCAATCTTCAATTCCCTCACAGCAGATCTACCAAGCATGGTGCAAAATTATTGGACATATCAATACCATGGCTATACAGTCATACAGTTGGTATATATCCAGCCATATCTGTATGATTGGCAGACTGACAAATGGTGCTTTTAGCACATGTGCAAAATAATATTAAATATTGCAATTTCTGGATTATATAGTTCAACATGCTATAGTGCCTACTAAGGTCTTCAGCACTCCCATGTGAGACGATGCCTCCCAAATGACGCTCTGAATATACAGATTGAGGCACAGCATAATGGAGTCAAGGTTGTGATCACATATATTATGGACCCCACTGACTATGACCATTATAGTTTTTAGCATTAAATATACTATCACCTTAGTGTATTGATTACATTCAGCGATGGACTTACCTCAACTGCATATGCATCTATTGATCACATTCTGATGGTCGCCAAGCATCTTTATCTGATATTTAACAGAAATGTTGAAAAAGATCTCAATAATGTTGGCCCACCTGTTCTTTGTTATTTTTAGTGTGCAGATTTAATATATTTTGACTCTCTAAGTCTCTCCACTGAGGGGACACCTAAACCTAGAAATTACAGCGAGTAATGTGGGCTCTTTTCCTTCTTGGCCTTTTGAAATCAACATCAGATTTATGAATGCAATTTCTTGAGCATGTATGAGACATAGTTTGGTTGCAATCTGAGATTTTGGACCTGGGTTAATGTAAGCTTTTAGTTATTAGATTACACGAAATCACTTTTTGACAAGTTGTACCCACATAAAGTACATATTAATTCAATTATTTGCAGATGTTCCATGTATTATTTTAACACGAGTATTTTCTAATTAAATAATGGGGACTGACATTCATGTCTTGTTTTTAATCTAGAATAACTAAAATCCAACATGTAATGGAATTTAAAATTTTGTTTCATATCACGTTTGACACACCTAGCCTATGACGTATGTAATGTTCTATGTTCACCTGGAGACAGTGACCAAAGGATACTGTGAAATCTCATAACATGGTAATATACCAGTAATACAAAGCCAGGTAGAATGACTGTGTCAACTGCACTGCGGCTGGCACTTGGGGTTGAGACAAATTTCACTACAGCAGTCTCATATTTATTCCATAAACATTCAATTTGATTCACTTACATAGTTACTACATTCAATGACTTGCCGTCTCGGCATTGAGCTATAACTTATGCAACAACAGCAGGACACATTAGTCATTCATCTGATTTCTGTGTGCTACCTTGAGACATCTTATGGTTACCAGACTGGTCACAAACTAGCATAGCATTCCTGATTCACAGATACCTTTTCCGGTGACTATCGGTATAAATGATGGCTTTGTTCATGTACCTTCTCAGTAACATTGTGATCTGATGTCGCTTGCTTACATTGTTGGCAAATGCTGGTAGTGAACTCTGAGTGGCTCAAGTATAAGCTCAAGAAATCTTTCTGACTCGGCACCATCCCTATAAGCACACTGGACCCTTGGTCCATTAGCTATAAATCAGATTTATTAAAATGACTTCTAAATGTATGTTCATGAACTTTACATTTCTATTACCTAATTCTCAATTTATCCAAACTGAAGTTAAATACACATCTCCAGTATCATCATGTGCCAGCTTATTTGTTACATTACCCAATAACACTAACAATGTTTTCATGGTGAAATTGACTGTCATTTAAAGTTTACTCACACCCATAATCTGTTGTACAAGCTAATATGCATCTCTGGAAGAAATCTTACCATTCATGAATTCATTTGCAACCAGACTCGTGTACTTTTTTTTCATATTTATTCTTTTTTTTATTTTTGACTATGAACATTTGATACATGTATTATGATGAATGTAAGAAAACTATGTACATGAATATCACAGATATAATTGTAGCCTAAATAGGTTACCAGCAGTCATAAAACAAATCATGCACAATCATGTATCTCTACAAGCCAGACAGCCATCTTTAATCAAATCACAAAGGGAACATGTATCCATTTGACACTTTTGCTAAATATAGGTGAAAGAGATAGTAGTATGGCCAAAAAAATAAATGGCTGCCAGTCGACCATCTTTGATGCGATTGTGAATCTATTTGTCATGAATATGTATGTACCAAAAACAAATCATGACAAAACCATGTCCAAGATACCACATTTTTAGAAGTGAAAATTGCTGCCAGTCAGCCATCTTGGATCAAATAACGCAAGGAGTGCACTTTTAGTTCACAGGTTTATGTAATATGATGCAAATGGGGATGACAAATGACCTCACAGTAAAAATAGCTTTGCTGTCTTCATAGAGTGTCATCAAAATGAAGATGACAATAATATGTGCTAAAATAGAGAATTGAAGATATGTACAAATCTGACAGAGGTCCATCCAAGGTAACTACATATACCGGTAATATATCAAAACAATTGGACTGATAGTTTTCAAGAAGTGAAATCAGTAATCTACAATGACAGCCGAGCTAAAAAGCAAGATAAGCATTATTTTCAATAAAAAATAATGCTTTGAATATTTATTAAATAGATACCACTGTTAGAATAAAATGCACAGAAACTGTCTTTATCATCTGAAATGAAAGTTTGAACTGTGTTCATAACATCCCTGTTATTAACCACATCTATACATTCAACAGAATGAACACTGTACAGGTAAAAATGTTCTCAATTCATCTACTCAACCAGTGACACTGTTATTTATGTTACTGATAGTTATTTATCAATCCATGTATGTATGTGCACATCAGCTGTGGTCAAAGAACACAGCAAGTCATATGAAAAAAAAATTATTGTTACTTTATAAACTGTATAAAATTCATGAATAAATAATCTCAGTGCTTTCTAACATGTGAATATATCTTGTGTTAACGTTTCAATTCACATTATTACATGATTTTGGACTAAATTGCAACATTTTAACGCAGACCATAGTTAATAACAATATTTTAATGGTATAAACAAAACTAGCCAAGAATTTCATGCTTGTATATTTCTGATACTCGGCAAGTCATGTTGGCATATCAACACAAATCATACAGCCATCATTAAGAAAAAATTGCATAGAAGGTTCTTTCTAATTAATTAATTAATAAATTCAACACCATAAAATTTCAATTTCCTCATGAAATGTGATAAAGAACATTAAACAATGATACAGGGATTCAAGAACCATCATATAAAATTTAAATTTTAATTGTTGAATAGGATGACTTTATTTACATGTATGATGAACAGATGGAAAAATAATCTGTGAAACATTTATTTATACACTATTTATTTAGCGTGGTCAAATCTTTAATATAGGAGATACTTGAGGGCGCTGGGCACTGATTGATAATCTTATTAATTGCATAAATTGAATGAGTGATACATAGTTGAGAAGAGAAAGTAGGAACCATACAGTCATTCAATTATTCTCGCGTATTAAAACTGTTTAAATTATATAAAATTTAAGAACTATGAGAAAATGCAACCACAAATTTACAAAAAACCACAAGGAAATTCAATATTAAATAAAATAAATTGAAATGTAATTAAATGACTCTTCAATTGACAACATTCAGGGCTCAATCTGTCTCCCAAATTAACATTTAAGGTACCTAAAAACACATCAATTTGTTAAAATACATGTAATAGGATTAATTAAATTAGCTACACCTTGAATTTAGAAAAATTAAAAGGTTACATGCTTGCTGGAATGAGATGTTTACAGTAATCTGGCAAATGGCAGGCTTAACTTAACTTGCTTTCTGCATGGCAGACAAAGAACGATTCACATCCTTTTCTGCAGGTTTACCTTTTTTGGGGGGGGGAATAAAATAACACTGACTAGTTTTACCAAGCTAAACTAAACATGGACATAGTGATGGGTACCTCATTAAATTTCTTGTTTTTGGCTCTGACAGTAGGATTGGTAACATGTGTTCTTAAATACAAGTACACTTGACCTATATAGAAGGGGTTTACAGGGGTTTCACTACTATGCCTACCTGAAGCTTGGGCTTATTAACAAAAATATAGTTTACAGAGAGAACTCAGAAATGAAGGCATTCTGCCTTGGAATGAAGTACCAGGCTCTTGTGTTGACTCATTAATATACATCAATAGCTAACAACTAGCAAACATCAAAATACTGGTCTTGGTTGTGCATATCACAGCAAAGAATATGCTTTGTTGTTGGGATTCAGTCTCAAAAGTTATGCGAACTGTGACCAAAGTTAACATGCTCCACCTGTCACTGGTAGCATAGTGGTTGTCGCATCAGACTCATGATCGGTAGACCCAAGTTCAAATCTTACCTTAGGCTGAACATCAAAAGGGTCGACCCCTACCCTGGGTGAGTGTGCCACAGACTCAATGGGAAGGCCAATCCACTGGCCGAGATTCATTCACTAATGAATGCGACTTTGGGGGAACCTTGGTTAAGGTCCGTAGGTGCTTGTGTTTGACCGAGTGTGATTGACGCCAGGATAGCACATTAAATTGCCATTTGATAGGGAGATAGCCGCACAGCCCTGTCATGTAGTCCCAAACAGGAAATGACTTCTGTGGCAAAATGCACTATGTGTCAGCACTTGCACTTGCAATTTGCACATAAAAATAAAAGTCAGGAGAGACAACAGTGACATTCAAAATCCAGAACTGCCGCCTGGCACAAAAACATTTATAAAAAAAAAAGTTAACATGTTCCACAGAAATGACTACCCAGACCACAAACCAAACAGTTTTTGTGTTGATCATGTACTCTCATCACATCCAAGCAAGAAATGAAACACTTGTTACATGGAAATAAAATCTGGATATTGTCATCAGTACCGTCTTTAGGTATATGCACATTTTTGTCTGCTGGCAGTGGTGATTCCAAAAATTCGTAATCCAGGCAAACTTTGAAAAACAATCCAGTGCAGAATGGGCTAACTCACCAGTTAAGGCCTGAAAACTACGTTACTCTAAGTACATTCAATGAAGACACACTCTGATCACCCGTTCATGACAAGGGAGCATCTCCTATATTAAAAATTTAAATGGAATAATTAAATCCAATGTTTCACAGATTATTCAAATCCGTTCAATCTGTAGTATAGTCATTTTATAACATAAGTTATTACAGTGTCCTCACTTATTTAGCATACATAATTGCAAGCATGACTGTAAATGTGTACTCTGACGTAGAAAATTTTGCGAAAGTCTCTCAAACTCAACGGCGTAGGCATACAAATATTTACAGCTACAAAATTTCATGTTTTCCACTCACGCAATTTGCAAAAAATTGTCTTATGAAATTAAAACAATTTACAGTAGTCTATGTTGAACTGTCCTGTCTCTTAAAAAGGGTTGTCAATGAAAATGGTCTTCTGTTTGGTTTGTGTACAAGTTCACCTGTAAACAAGAACAAAACACAGCATATTCAATTACTATAATTTTGCCACGGTTCAAATACATTTAATTACTATGCAGATCAAACCTAATTACTGATATGTAATGAGGGTAATTTCCAGTCATCCCAAGGTAATTCACTGTGACAAGGATGCTGTCATTGTTTATGTGTACTGAGAACAGGAACAGATTTCAGGATGCAAATCGCACTCCATGGTGATGGAACCAAAAACAAAATGACACAGTCCCCGTTAAATTTTTGAAAGTTCTCTTTGTGCTCGTCATATTAAAGTGGAGGGGTTGTCACAAGTGTGTCCTTGAAACCTGAGTCCCAAGTGGAGTTTACAACAGATTGTTTATTTACATCAAATTCGAACACGTGTTGCATGACGACCCCTCTGGTTTAAGACATAGCAAAGTAAAACATAGATCACAAGTGAAAGCATGTCCAAGTTATCACATTTTAAACAAACAAGATGGCCGCCAGTCGGCCAAATTTGATCAAATTGCAAATTGAATTGACATGTACATGTATCCATTTATGACAAGCTAAATATCAATAAAAATGAAACATGGGTGACACAGATATAGTAATATGGCCACAAATAAAAACAGCCATTATTTGGCCATCTTTGATCTGATTATGAAACAAAGTGACATGTATGATGTATGTGCCAAATACGAATGAAAATGGTATATAAATCTTGGAAATATAGTAGTAACGCCAAAACATCAGATGGCTGTCAATCGGCCATCCTTGATCCAATTGCGAAAGTAATTGTCATGGACATGTATCCTAATATGTATAATCTATGTACCAAGTTTGAATGAAATCTGACAAAGAATGTCCAAAATACAACATTTTCAAAAAACAAGATGGCTGCCAGTCAGCCATTTTGAATCGTATCGCTAAACCTTTGCATGTGCATATGTCCCACATAAAGTACTAGGCACATGCAAAGAATGAACAGAATCGCTGCAAAGGATTCTGAAATATGACCTCGGACAGACGGACGCGCAGGGGGACGAATGCACGAATGGTCAGAGGATATAAATTCTAACATGTATAATCTATGTACCAAATTTGAATGAAAACTGACAAAGCATGTCCAAAATACAACATTTTCAAAAAGCATGATGGCTGCCAGTCGGCTATTTTGAATAGAACCGCAAAACCGCTGTATGTGCATATGTCCCACATAAAGTACTAGGCACATGCAAAGAATGAACGGAATCGGTTCAAAGAATTCTGAAATATGACTCCGGAAGACGGACGCACAGACGGAGATCGAATTATAAGTCCCTGTTTTTTGACTTCGTAAATCATAATAAACAAGTCATTGAAAATGACACAGTCCCCGTTAAGTTCTCTTCGTGCTCGTCATATTAAAGCGGAGAGGTTGTCGCGAGTGTGTCCTTGAAACTTGAGTTCCAAGTGGCGTATACAACAGATTGTTTATTTACATCAAAACATGTGTTTCGTGTAATATGGCCAAAATAAAAACGGCCGTTATTCGGCCATCTTTGATCTGATTATGAAACACACTGATATGTATGATGTATGTGCCAAATACGAATGAAAATGGTACATAAATTGTGGAAATATAGTAGTAAGGCCAAAAAGTCAGATATGGCTGTCAATCAGCCATCCTTGACCAGATTTTGAAACAAATTGTCATGGACATGCATCCTAACATGTATAAAGTACATGTATGTGCCAAATTTGAATGAAAACTGACAGAGCAGGTCCAAGATACCGCATAAAAAAACAAAAACAAGATGCTTGTCAGTCGACCATCTTTGATCCAATTGCGAAATAAATCGTCATGGACATGTATCCTAACATGTATAATCTATGTACCAAGTTTGAATGAAAACTGACAAAGCATGTCCAAAATACAACATTTTCAAAAAACAAGATGGCTGCCAGTCGGCGATTTTGAATCGAATCGCTAAACCACTACATGTGCATATGTCCCACATGAAGTACTGGGCACATGCAAAGAATAAACGGAATCGGTCCAAGGGATTCTGAGATATGACTCCGACGGACGCACAGACACACGGACGGACGGAGGCCGAATTATAAGTCCCCGTTTTCGGACTTCGTCCGAACGGGAACTACCGTAGGTAATTATGAAATCTGTTAAATAAGTATGTGGTCACATTTTTAGATTCGGCAAAATTGCGGAGTTATAACAGCACCTACATATGAAATATCAAAGCAACTTGACTTGTAGTTTTTAACAAGTTGAAAATATATTTGTTTACTGAAACTAACAAAAAACATTCACTAAAAATGAAGAATTAATGATCACAAATGTTTGAATGCTTTCAAGAATATCAGAAATTATTTTATATCAATCACCTACTATCAATAATGACCATTTGCTAATAATTACACCAAACTTTCTTGATAAATTGATTTGATAGAAATTGCAATGACACTTCATGATTGTCATTGTTACTGTATTACATTCAGAAAACAGCACTTACCTGCATTAGAAAATGTAGCTAAAGAAAGTCTGTTGATTTGAGATGTAACACATTTAACTGGCTCAGAAACCTCAAGAAGTGCTGTAAAAGGCAAAAATATCCAGAAATAAAT